AGGATATTACACTAATATTATTTTGTTTACAATTACAATTTAATTATTTCCCTTGGTATGCAGTAAAATGTTGGTGTTGGTCAGTTACAACCAGTTTTATCCAGTTTTGGGTGATTTTGTTCATTCAAACTAGTGGCTACGTGTAGGCCACTATAGCCTGAAATGTATTAGACACCCACCTCACCAAATCAACCGCTCTAGTCTGCCCTATTAAGTGTATGGTTAAAATGATAGTTGGTGAACAGTTTGCCGATATATTTGTCAAATAACATTATGGTTAACCAAACTGAATGCAAATGTGGTAGTATACGTATTTTAGCAATGTCTATGGACATCTTGTTATCTGCATTTTATTAACTGGATTTACTATTATTGCATTACGTCAATTCACATAGATGTAAGACATGGTTCATCTAAGGATGTTATTTTTGATTCACGACTGCGTGACAGCATAGCTCTGTCTTGTTCATTTCGATGTGTGTCGAGTCGTGTCCGTCGTAGTTGTCGTGGTTGTCGCATCACGACAGTTGTGGCGTGTCACGTTCGTTGCATCACGACCGTACACGACACGGCCCGCCACAACTCGGTCAAAATACGGAACCTGTTTAATATATAGTCTGATAAACTTTAACCCTGTCCAATATAAGTACTAATATTTATCGACTACGGACAGTTAATATTATACACATAAAAAACTAAAGTGTTGCCATGGCTCCCAATGCCATTGCTTTTGCCCAGAGTTCAATTCGTTTTTTTTTTCTGTAACAAAAATGTGATATTCAAATGCTCGAATAAATGCCATGACAACGAACGTTTGTACTACATATCTGTCCATTACCTTGCGAGAATGCAATAGCAGACGAAGAAAACGACTCACTAGAATCACCAGTTAAAACTCCGACCACATTGAATTGTCAATAAAAGACACACCCCGATTTTAGTCGAGGGGGCTGTTTACCGAATCGTGGTTACCAGACGATATCACGCCACCTCAAAACTTATTGGTTGGTTATTTACTCAAACTCTTCTACTACGACCGTTAATACCGAGAATCAATGTTTATAGCGACTAATCTTTGTTTTTACTACAAGTGATAACATATTCAGGAAGTTAAGGGGCTACGAATAACGTCTGGGTTCTCTATTATAACAATGTCCACATACATCCATGTAGAGCGTCTCATTATTGTCATGTTTTGTATGAGCCTCCCCCTCCCTTACAACAGTTGTGTCACCGGGACGTATGATTCCTGGGTCAACTGGGGTCATCTTAGTGTGTCCACATTCTCTTCATTTGTGGTTCTATCATCTCATCATCACGTTTTTTCTATTGCTGAAAAAAGTTGAAAAATCGTGAAAAATAAAGTGATGAAAATTTGCAAATCATGGACAAAAGTGACGAGAATGAACAAGCAGAGCTATGGACCCACAGCTACAATCATTTGTCCACTTACAACGCCCATATACGTTGCATTATCGGCACTAAAACACTCATTATAGGATTAAACGGGGTTAAAGTCTACATTGAAGTAATTATTTTAAGACGATACCACAATTTGTGTTAAACTTTTTGATAAATTCTGTATGCTGTTCGTAATCATTAAGATAACGGGCAATCACATCACAGTGCTTGGTATGTTAGTTATTCAGGTTAGGACCATTGTCCATGTTACGGTACTAAACTCGAACTTATTGTCATGTGATCAGAAATCAGATTTAGCTCACGGCTTCGTGATAATAGTTGTTTACCGAGGGATTTGCTAAGTTGGTCGTCCCGGTGCTCCTCGTCCAATATTAGGAGAGTACGGGTCATTATAAGTGAAAAGAATCAACATGTTGTCCCAATGTGAGTAATAACACGCACGGATTTAGCCACCCACCCCCTCAGCCCGCGAAAAAAAATACAAATCAATTGACAAACCCATGCCACGTCAATATGACCCCCCCCCATACCGAATTTCTGGATCCACCAGTGAATGGTGCAAGATTGAGCAATGTTGTATTTGTTTAGAATTAAATAAACCTAAGTATATAATATTTTAATATACACATTCAGTTCATTACGCGCGAACAATGACATTCTTACAAACCACGCGGAATACAATGCAATAAAGATGTACTTGCTAAGCGAATCATTCATACGGTGTTTTTTGGATATCGAAATTCCATGATTTCCTGTTCCTCAAGTATCACCATTAAATGCTACTTCATCGTTCATAACTATGTTGCCACTTATCAGAGACTATTTATACCAATTATCCTATTTGTAAAGAATAACGAACGATAATGACGCCATTAAAGTTAATCACGCAATTCTCACATGCCTATCTTCTAGCATAGGACTTCGTACGAAAGATAGGGAGCCGTGTAAATATATACAGTCTTTAAAGTTTTGAACACATATTAATAGAGAAGACCAAAGACCTATGTTGAAGTAGCGGTACATATTAACTTCCATGTAAAAACTGCATTCCTGAAGTATGGCCTGCACTTCCCCTGACGCACCGTTGCAATAGCTTACCATATCCCACCCACAGTCCCCAGTGTTGAGGGACTGTGCTCCACCCGAGGTTCTCAAAGAACGTTGACATAGCAACAACACTAAATGACGTAACACAGGCATGTGTTTTCAGTCGTGTTATATATGACTGAGAATTGGTAAAACGGCTATTTATCAATGTGCAACAGATTGTTATAATTGTGAGATGTTACTGTCTAAAAACGAAAAACCAATCCTGAATTTAAAGCGCGGTAGACGTCGCGCTGCGCATGTGCGAGTTTTATGGGTCTCATATAAACAAAGATGGCGACTTTGACTGTTGCGCAGATCACGGTTACTAAAAAAGAAACCGTGCACAGATCAACGAGTACGAACTGACACGTTTCCAAGCTTTAATTAGGTAATTTCCATGTAATTGGAAGGTGTCGAAGGAGTCACTGGCGGTAATCAGTGCAAGTCGCGCCCAGGTCAAACCATAGACCCTCTAAAAGAGGGTCTATGGTCAAACCTCATACTTGTGATTTTCATTTGAAAAGCGCATTGGATTGTGGGAAAATCAATGTTTATCAACACAAATGTCGCACATGCGCAGCGTGACGACTACCGCGCTTTAAATAAAATCGAAGAGTGTACACGTATACATACTGCTTATTGGAGAATCTGGAAAAGGGGTGCAGTTGTGGTGAAGTTAGATGGGATAGGGTGGGTCTGTTAGGTTGGCATTAGGTTGACGATGTAGGTTGACTGCTCTTGAGCAACAGTTAGACTGTCCGGGTAAAATTTACGAGTAGACACTATCCAAACAACACACCTAAAACACCGAGGGTTCTCTGTTTATTTTCAGTGTTGATTTAATTCTATACGCATGCCTATATTGTATTTATTATGATCGCAAACGGTGCTGTTCTTATCCTGTGTACTTGTCTACGAATGTAAACAAATATAGCATGTTCCAATATGTCTGTCACATAAATCAGATTCTTTCGTAATCCAGACGTTGGATCCGGACGCCAGTGAGATATTAAAACGTTCCTCTGAAGTGCATCTTTCTACAGCTTGTTATGAAGTCATACATTGAATAGCGACTGTAATATGGAACAGTCACGTGATAAACAGGTGTAAAGGAACCGATATAGATTGACGATCAGTGCTCAAGGTCGACATTTCTCATCTCAATTTGGTTCACCTCATAAAAGTGCTTCATTCCTCTCTATACAGGTGTTGACAGTATTGACGAAGACGATCCCTAGACGTCGGAATGTATTTAATTAGACACTTCAAAAGATTAACAACGTCGGGTTAGCACACAAGTGCAGTTTAATTTATAGGGGATGCAATAAAAATATCACAATCTCAGTTCAGGAGTGTGAACTTAATCACCTGGTTTAGCGATTGGAGTGTCGACTGACTGACTAGTCCGAACAAGTTGTGGTGCCAACATAATAACAAATAATTGTAACATGACACGGAATGCTTGCCGTCTCCATGTAATGTGACGCCCCATCGCCATTCCTATCGAAGCGTCACAGTGACGTCAACGTTTTTTTGGGGGGGGCAGTGAGAATAGAATAAAATATTTTATTATAACCGTAAAAATAGTTTGACTTTTTATTTTTTGCATATACAAGATAATTTGATTTGATTAGAAGACAACATAAATGTCAACAGAAAATGTCAAAGAAATGGATGAATTGACATATTTACTCTGAAAGAAACTGTTTAGTTTATTAATCCTATTACAAGTTGTTTGTCATTGCAGCCCATTGTGTGGATACATTTCTCTTCGTCAGACGAGGAAGTAAATGCATGTAAATGAGAAATATAGAATACAGTTGTTTTCGTTAATCTGTGTATAATTTACATCAAGTGGTGAAATGAAATTCGTATTCAAGAGCATTTTCTTTGGCTGATTTCAGTTTTTGGTCTAGTGTGTAATTTATGGCAACTACGTCTAATATGCTTAATATTCTTACTGCTTGTCTGTCTTTCAACTGTTTTAGATAGGTTTCTTGATGAATGGTGTGTTCAAATAATTTAAATATTATAATTTTTTAATAATCCATGCATTTTTGGTAATGTTTTGGTAACTTTTTGAAAGTGATCTTTTGTAGCATTAAAGTCTATTTTGTAGACGTTGTTGAGTTACACAGTCTTGTAAGCCAATGGATATTTTTTATTTCCAGTGAGAGGTCGTTGAATTATTATTCGAGGTGCATGGTGGGATGAAATGGGAGAATGGGAGAAATTGTTCTTATTCATTGTGCGTTTAAATCCCAGTATTACATACCCAGTTCGTTTAGCATTTCTCTTAATCCTTAATTACTTGCCTTATGATTTGCAGCAAACCAAAAAATACTAAAGTTCCAAAATCTGCATGTTTTTGAATTAGTAGTACGTACCAATAATTCATTCATTATATTCTCAACAACACAAATATTTCCAAATAATTTTATTCTAATCGTCAATATGTCACTTTATGTTTCTGTGAGATTTGTTATTCACACTTTTTTTTTGTTTTTTTTCCAGCCCTAACTGTGAGATTCCTAACAGGAAGATTCATTGGTGAATATGAATCTAATTTAGGTAAGTGGTCACGTGTTCTTTCTTTGTTGATCGTTTTACTGTACATAACTGAGGTGTGTTGGTTTGTAGAAAATATACACTATT